CAGGATTGACTGTTGTCCTAAATAACATGCATGATCATTCTCTGGGCAAATAATATGTGTGTGCAGATCTATATAATGTTGAATATTTATGTATCAACTAATGCTATATTTGTTTGAAATAAAAGTCTCTAAATTTCAGCCATTTACTAAACCTTAGCAACTTGGCTGATGACTTTTTAACTCTTTTTCTATAACTTAGTTGTTTAAAGAATAGTTTCAGAATACTGGCATAAATTCTTTTTACTAATTTTAACACTACTGCAGACGCACTGTAAAAGCAGGGAATAACACATTTGTGGCTCAGGCATCAAACTTTGATGTCAGTGTCTCCTATTACTGGTGTCTTATCAATTAGTTTGATTAGAAAAGCTTTGAGAAGAATATAAATCCATAATGCAAGCAAGAAATATAACTGAGTCATTGTAGAGGGAGTCTCTTGAATGACGCCCACAAGTGTACTTTAAGGGGATTTGATTCAATTTGATTTACATTTGGTAAATGTGAACAAATAGAATATAGCATGTCATTTAGAAGCTAGGTCTATACTCTTGGCTTGGATTAAAAGCAATTTGTGTGGGATCTTGGACATTGAAGTTGATTCATGAATTGTAGTGCTTAAGTAGAAATCAGAAGCATAACTAATAGTTTTGCCTGTGAACGCAAGCTTTGTTTTACTGGCTTTTATGCAAAAGTCCCTGCATCATGTTTTGGATAATCTGTGGGACCACTTGAACCTGTGGCACCATTAATAGTGAATAAGAGGTGGATGAGCTGTTTTGTAAACCTCCATGAAAGATTTAAACATTCATTGAGATGACGTCTGTAAGTGACGTATTTGGGAAAAATAGATTGAATACAGAAATATTAATTGCATGCATGATTTTTAGAAACTGGTACAAACATATTTTTCAGTAGTTTATACTGTTATTTAATGGGGGTCTTCGAATGCCTTTATTAATCAGTGCATCTTATCTTAGACAGGGATGTCCCCACTGTAGGCACCAGTATAGTTGCAGTTCCTAGACAGAAGGGCTGTTGAAGTGTTTGTACAGATGCAGATGTGTCTAGCTAGATAAAAACCCCAATCTGAGTGTAGACCAGATGGCTAAACTCCTTGTCAAGGTGAAAATTTTTAGATGATGACAGCTTATGTGACATTGTAGTGTACTTAAAAAGATATAGGTAGAACAGTAGGAGAGAACTGTATTTTCATAATAATGTATATATATGGCTTACACCTTTATCCATAATTACTTAAATTTGCTCCCAGCTGTATATTTTGCTGTGTATTTTATTAAACAATTTAGGTGAAGTACCTTGCTCAAGGTAACAGCTGTGTTCACCTGGGATTTGAACCCACAACCATCCAGATATAAATCTAGAACCCTAACCACTACTCCACACTGCTGCCCACTTGATGCATTTTAAATTCACCAGGTAGAGTGTGTCTATCTTGTTTATTTGTGTTAGGGGGCAAAAGGTTGTTTCCTTTGTTGCATCAGTTTAGGTGGCGGGCACACCTAAGAATATTCTTTAAATAAAGAAATCAGACCTGCCTGTATTTCTAGAGTTTAGTTACAGTATCTTCTGAGTTCACTAGTATGGTCAATGTTTGAGATTTAGAATAGAAGTTTGAATAAGGTGATGTAAGGTATAACATGATGAATTCTTAGAACACCCTCCAGTTGTCAGTTTTAGTTGGTAGATATTTATTTCTGTTTTAAGTCTACGTGTGTGATAGTTGTTTAATACATTGTCTTTTATATTAGTACCTGGTAATTTATTCACCACAAAATTGTTCACAGAAGTCAGGACATCGTATCCCAGTCCTCTGAATCTTTGCAGTGTGTCAGAAGTACTGAAAATATTTTTTTCTGTAGTCATTAATAAATTGTTTTTATTAGTAAAACAATGTGACCCTACTGCAGAAAAAAACTATTTTCACCTATGTCTGTTTTCCAAATAAAATGGAGAGTAATCATCGAAGACTTAAAATAGAATAAACAGTAATCACAAGGAGATGTCAGCTAATCAGAGAGATTTGGTGGTAAAAATAGAAATAAGTAGGGACTTTTAGCATTGATAGGTGATACTGTAAAAGGCTACCAAACACAGCTGAAGGATAACTTGAGAATAGTGATCTGGACTCTCAGTGAATGCAGATAGTGGGAAGCTGACTACATATGACAATAGGCTAGATGAAGTTGAGAACTAGTTAAAGGTAGTTGAAAGTGAATTTTTGAAAAGGCAAGAGACAATCTTTCCCTGTGGATAGCTCACTACAACAGCTCCCCATCATCTTCAGGTCTCTATTGCTGGAGTCTGATCCATGCCCTGTCAGTTTGGGTTTACTACAGAGCTCAGCACCCAGGGCACTGCCAGTCATACAGCAGACTGTGGACATGCAGGTGATACAGCGCCTCACCAAGCAAGTCAGAGCTCGTAACATAGCAGGATCTGTACTGCAAGGAGTGAAGTGACAGGCTAAAAACCTTCCTTGAGCCACAATGCCCCTACACTGCAGAACCAAAATGGCATCAGGACACAGAAGGTGTCATAACCAAAAACAGCACCTCTGGGGGGAGTAACAAGCCCACCCAGGTTGTGGTTATAACTGACATTTTTCTCTGCTGCCAGGCTGAACTTGCAGCCTGGACTTGAAGGCAGACAGCTTCTGAGATGTGGCACTGCCTATGTGAAGTGCCTGTTGCTTCCAGTCTGAGCTGGATGATATAGTTCACTCCGGGTCACTGGAAAAGCGGGGTGGCAGTTGTAAGGTTGGATTTCCTGTCCCAAGGCCATTCTGTAGCACTGTGAACAAGGACATTTTGCAATGCAGCAGCCACTGGGCCTACTTGTGCCCTACTACTTCATCTATCAGCAGCCCCCCTGTGCTCATACCTATCAAACAGCAGTAAGAGCAGCCCAGCCTCTACTGACTGGCACTTGAAGGGGGCTTATTGCTGCCTTCCTCACCAGCATCTCTCACTGTATAAAGAAGCTGGCGGAGGAAGCAGGGAGCATCTTGCCTTTGGACAGCAGCTGTTCCACTTCCACCTCAGAGCTCAGCAGTAAGCAACTCCTGCTGCAGGTCCCCTCCGAGCCCTGTGAGCCCAATAAGCAGAACCAAGAGGAGGATAAATGATGGAACCAGCCCTGGCTGGTTTTACTCAGAGTGACCTGAGCTAAAACAGCAGCCTGTACATTGTGTGGAAGAGGATAGTGTATGCAAAGAACTGTGCACAGAGACAGTGCAGAAATAAGACAGAACTGAGCACACCCTTAAGCCCCCAGGTTTCTATACGTAGATCAGTGTTAACTACATAAATACTCTTTCAGAAAAAGTCTAATTTGGAGATTTTTTGTTATTGGTTCACCTTATTTAAGGTTTCTTAAAACATTTCTTGAACAATGTCTCCTATGTTTAAGAAATATTTTATTATTGGAACTCTTGTACACAAATAAAAAGTAATGTGTTCTCTTTTAAACCTAGTCCACGATAAAGATAATATCTTTTTGTTGAGTTTTTATGCAGCAAGCATTTGTTTTTATATTGTTTAAGAGTTAATCATCTACAGTAATTGCTAAAGAATCATGAGTTATCCGTTTTGTTGGTAGTGACGTCTTTAGTCCTCTTAAGTGAAAAAAGTTTTCTTAAAAATGTTGCAAATTATTTGAGTTTGCTAGGCACCCAATCAGTGCTTAAAAGCAGGTGTGGAGCTCATTGGTGATGAGGAGAGATAAATTGCCATGCAATTACTCTATTGGGATATTACTATTGGTATTACACTCTGGAGAAACACAAAAACCATTTGCAATGAAGCCTGCAGTGTAGATGCACCTTCATGATTTAGCACTTTCTTGGTAAATATGTAGTTATATCAATGATGGCCACTTTAATTTTCAAACTGACTTTTGCTGTGACCATTAGTAAGAATCAGTTAAAATGCAGAAATCTGTTGCATTTCCCTTGTCATATTATTAATAAGACATATTAATACTTACCTGGTGAGGATTATTTAACTTAAAAGAAGGAGACCTACTGTACAAAACAACTGAAGGCTAATGCACTCTTTTGAGTGAATTAGTGTAGTCAGTGTCAAGGATCTAGTGGAGAATGTTGGGAAATAAGAAGTCTCTACATCTGTAAATATTTTGTTTCTGTGTTTTCTGTCGTGTGTGTTTGTTTGTTTAATATTTTTTTTATCTTATAAGTTACTGCCTGTTTATTTGTTAACCACCAAAGTGTTCATAGAAAATTAAAGAAGCTATGTGACCTTGCTGCCTAGTTCCTTACTAGTGGGTCAGTGCTATTATTTAACTTTTATAAATTGCTTGTACTCAGGCTGTTGTCAGGACTGACTATTATAGTTTGACTAACATTTGACTTGAATGTTAAAACACTTTAACCTCTAATTAACCTCTGTTACTACTCACACCCCCACTCCCTCAATGTAACTATTCCATGTGAAATCTCTACCAAATCTTTGAGGTTGTGCACAGTATAATGAAACATTACCTGCCAATCACAATAAATCATTTTAAGGATAAAATATTGATGAGTAATTAAAGAACAACAGTATAAATGGCACAGTGGTCTACATCTCACTTGCATGACTCAGTATGCCTCTAATATTATATGAATATACATATATGAAAATACTTTTTATTGTCTATAGAAATACAGGGATCTCTGTGATATATAGAAAACTACAAAAAAACAGCAACCTCTCACTCAGAAATGACTTACGAAAACATTTTACATAGAATGAACGTATAACAGAGGGGCACATATATGTAAGGATGATAGTAGAGACATAGTGCTATTACTGGAACAGTGGCAATGTTGATAATGTAGTTCTATATGATGAACAAAGGAACAGCAACATAGTTCTTTACAACAAAAAAATCCAACTAACAACAAAGGATTAGAAATTTGAGAATCTGAAGAACAACAATCCGGAGACTGAGAGGGTGATTTTTTATTTTTTCAAATGGCATATGAAAAGTTTGTGCGTGAGTTTTAACACTGCTAGAAATGGCCCATTCAACCTATTTTGTAAGGCAAGTATTGGGAAAAGAAGAATGAAGTAAGAAGTGCCATGTGAATCTTGGACCTTTTTATACGGATAAATGTTGAGCTAATTTAGTTAGGATGTTTCATACCGATGGTATCAGCCTATTCAGCAAAGCAAAATCCATTCTACAATGTTAAAGCAGAAAAGAATTTGGCTAAGTGGAAAATTATATTTATATCACAAAATATGAGAGTGCTTGAATCCATGCTACATATTTTCAAAAAGCCTTAAAAGTATACTAATAGAGAAGGACAACTAATATTCCAACAAACTAGTACTTAGAACTAGGCTGTTACACAGAGGATATGACTGACGTACAGTAGGCTCATTTTCAAGACTCAGTTGGATGGATGTGCCAAATATCAGAGCAGGTTATAAAGATATTAACGCAATAGAAAAGGAACAGTTTTAAAGAAACTGATAATGTATGCCATCAGTGATGTCTTAATGGTATCACAAGAAATATCCTGTTATGACAGTAGTAAAAATAATAAAGTAACTTCTTATTTGATGACCTCCCCTTTCAAGAGTGTACAGGCCTGCGATTGAAGTCCAGATGAAGGCCATTCTAGTCTGATTGAAATCTAGGAAATATAAATTATTTTGGAAGGTTGCACTCACGAGGAAAGAGTGTCTTCTTTTCACAAAACTTATATACCTATATTTTCTTTCAGCTGGCTTGAGCCCTGCAGAAATCCAGCAGTTATGGAAAGAAGTGACTGGGGCACACAATATGGAAGATAATGGCATTAAACATGGAGGGCTTGACCTCTCTACTAACAACTCTTCCTCTACTACCTCTACCACTTCCAAAGCATCACCACCTATTACCCATCATTCCATAGTGAATGGCCAGTCTTCAATCCTCAATGCAAGGAGAGATAGGTACAATTCCTATTTATTATTTTTCTCACACTTAGAATAACAAAAGATGGAGTTGCATGTATGATCTTCTGTTGCATATGTCAGCACAACACTCAAAGCTTTGTTTGCATTTATTTCAAGGTGTTTATTCCTTTAGGGCCAACATATTCTTTGTTTATTTGTTTAATAGTTTATTAATGCTTCTATAATAGTGAAACTGGTGAAGAGGATTTCCCTTATGATAGCAGAAAGTTTAATAAGCATGCTTATACAAAATCAAATGCAAACAGGTATTTCAGAAAAATGTGTATACAAAAAGATAAGTGCTTTAGTGTTTTTTCTTTTGAAATAGCTTTACTATGTGGCTTGTCATATAAACAGAATACATGATTCCAAGATGGGTTTTTTATGGTGTTTATACTTGTGATGGACCTTTTATATGCAATACTGCTGGAATGAAAGTCTGTTCACATTTCTGTCTGTCTTATTTATTATTTAAGCGCTTCCACAGTATGTTAAGTATTTAGAAATGGTGCAGACCTCCAGAAAGGTAGATGTGTTCTATAACCGACTTAACATAGACAGAAGACGAGCTGGAGCTAAAACGCACAGTAACAAAATCTTCAAAAGCAGACATCAACAAAAAAAAAAAGAAAAAGAAAAGACTTTTTATTCGTATGTGTCCCCTGGGCTTCTTGCTTCTCATGATGATCCAACAAGAAATATTGTCAAGAAGAGCCTCTTACCTACAAGGCCTAGATCAATGAGAGGGAGAGCTTGGTATAAAACAGTTTGTGAGCTCTGTTATAATACTGCCAAACCTAATGCAACAGAAGCTTAAAGGTTAACTGTCAGCTTTAATAGAATATATAGTGAATGTAGGGTTATAGGCAACCTTTGATTTTTTCTTCTTCAAGACTGTTTTGACATAGAGTATGTTCTTAAAAAACAGAAGTCACAGGTACATGTATGTTAAATCACAGCCTGTAAAGTCTAATGTGACTGCCTCCCTCAGATAAATATACATCATTGATATGTTGTGTATGCTTACATTACATATGTTAGTGTTTCCATTTTACAGATGATAATACGGGTTTGTGTGGGTAAGAGAGAGGGAGGAATCGTATAAAATTAAAAACATTTTTCTGTAGACAAAGTGAAATTCATATAAGAGGTACTTCTGCAAAGGTTGCTGAAATTCATAAATGATTAAACTGATATTGCCCTGGTATTTCCTCTGTCTAAATGGTTTCTGCACATCCGTGTTAGTTCTATAGCTGAACATCGCAGCTCAAAAATATAAAGCATTGCATCATTGTCGTCTGGCTACACAATCTAATGACAATGCCCAGTTCTTATTTTTTCATTTTCTTTATTAACAATCATCTTTGACTCTGTTTCTTTCTTAATTGGAACATCATCCAACCTTGGCAGTTGAACTATTCAATAGAATGATTAATTTTTCCTGACTGCACTGAGCTCAATTGACCTGTTTTGACCCGTTTGTCACTGATTGTAACCTGACAGGCGCTAGCAGCCTCAAACGATTATGGCTTTTGGGATGACTCTGACGCCGGTTTCTTCTCCTTCAGCTCATTACATGAGGAGACTGGGGCCTCCCACTCTCTCTACGGCCATGGAGTGTGCAAATGGCCTGGTTGTGAAAGCATCTGTGAAGATTTTGGCCAGTTTTTGAAGTAAGTTGCCAAGGATTTATAGCTTCTGGAATATTTTCATTTTCCTTTCCAGGAATTCTAATTTGTAAGCTTCTCTTGCTTTACTTGTCTAATTATGTGTGTGAGGTCTAAGACTGCATGAGTGTGGAGCAGGGGGTCTTTGTATTATCTATGTGCAGTTACAATCTAAGCATTTAGCAGTCAAAGCAAAGCCAATATTTTGTTGAGTTCTCTTGAATGTAAGCCATACTCAATTGACATACAGTATGCAGTTTGCCTTCAGAGAATAGTGACTTTGTCCATAGGGGGTCATTAAGCTTTAAGTACAAGTGTAAAGCTTGGTTATAAAAGGTTCCTTATTGGAATTCGACTTCCTCAGCCCTTGAGGTCAGATAATAGAGCTCTGGGTAATGTGTGGGCTGCATGTTCCTATGAAAACTAAAGGACAGTTTATTTTCGTTTAGCTTTAATTTTGCTCCCAGGGAATAAGCAGTTTATTTCAAAGGGTTAAATGAGGGAACAGTGTTTCCTGTAAGAGGAAGTCAAGGCTGTTAAGGTTACACTGTTACATTTGAAAGTCTAAAGATTAAGACTGACATCTCGAAACCTCCTAGATGCACAAAATGTTGATAGGTTTGTGAAAATGCGAGAAGCTAATAGCAGTTTGTATAGATGCATAGCTTTACAATCTGTGAATCCAGTGTTGTCATGGTGCAGCTAACCGAGTGAATGAACTCTTCATGCTCCATCAACAATTTAGTTAATTAGCTCATTTGTAATTGGTCTGCTTTGTTGCCAGGATGTTAGTAGGGACATCAAAGACGAGGTGTTTGCAGTGCTGCAGATTATAGGTTATCACATAGCCACTCAGAAGAGAGAGCCGTTGTCTAAGAAAGAGAAATCGTAAATTTAAATATTTTAATTAGATTTGTAATTAAGTCCCAAATAATGATCTTGCAGCATTTTATAGGTTTAAACCCCCCATTGCAAGTGACATCATAATGCAGGGAAATGATGAATCTCGTTGATGTTGTTTCCCCTTTAATTTCACACAGTTACAAATTGATTAATTTAAAGGTTTCTTAAAAGTAATTAATGGGAATGATAGTTTGCTACACTTTGAAATTATATTAATATTATATTGTACAGTATGAATAGTACAAATGTTAATGAAAGTTATTATTTTCAATGTGAGTGAAGTGTTGAGTACAACAGACCTAAAAACAAAATGTTTTCCTACAGTATATAGTCAGACATATTGTACAACATTTTCTTTCCAAATGCAAGCTTTGCTTGTTTGTGATTAAATTAAATGTTTTTTTCAATGGTATATTTTTATTTCATTTTCCATTCTGACTATAGGTTTGCAATAGGTATGATCGTATTTTCTTTTTTATTTATGGCGGCTTTTTTGTTTGTGCCCACGAACATGCTCTGTGTTAACCTCATAATGAAAAATGTGGAGATTAAAAAGTTAAGACATGAAAACCTGCTCTTACTTACTCATGGTATCTATTCCAATCCATTAACCATAGTATTTTGAAAAATAGCATAAGCATATAACAGTACCATTATCAGATCTGAGAAATACAGTGAAAAGAGAATTGAAGTCATTAAGATGTCCAGAGGCAGCTGTATCTATGTTGTCTGCACAAAGAAAAGTGAACATACTACTGCTGAGTTAATGCAACTGTACTGTACTTGAATGAAAAATGAATAATGTCTGCTTATCCATGTCATGAAAAGCTGAGCACAGTCTAGCTTTGTGGATTTCTGCAGCAGACTAATAAAAAGTCCTAAAAGAGTCTAGTTTATGTTCTGAAGTTGAACCTTTGCTTCTAAGGAGAAGTTTACCTTCTAGCTTGAGTAAAGAGCTAGCTGTGCAGCAGCATGTCAGTGGGGGATTATAGCTGAAAACAGTGGCTTTGCCTCATTTTTCTCATCATAGCAAAGGATTTTCGCCATAGTCAAAAGTTACGTGAGTGAATGAAACATACATTTGAAATGTTTTGATTTGTGATTTTGACACTTTTTTGGGCTGTTCTCCTAAAACCTGTAATCCTTTGATTGTTTTTACTTATTTTTTAAAGAAGTTAATAACTTGTGAATAAGCATAAGGGACAGTAGCATACATATAAAAAAGAAAGATTGGAAGTGTATATTTAAGCACTTGGCTTTGGAGCAAAATCATCTTGCTTTAATAGGATGAAACAGGAGTGCAGTCATGAAGTATTCACTGCTGACTCGCATATATCATGTTCCTCTGGATCTGTCCTGCAGTGACTGGATTGCCTTTAGTAGAGTGGTTTCATTTTCTCTTTTCCCTGGTTTAAGGAAATGTTATTCAATTTCTTGGGATGCTCTTCACAAGTACACTTTCACAAAAATATTTTTTCAGTTATTAGGTGTCCCGTGACTTCCTTTAGGACATTGTGTATTCAGTCAAAACTCTTTGGCAAATTCATTGTTTATATTCCTGCTGTCTATCTCTACATACACACAAGTATTTCTTATCACAATAGTGGCATTACAATAAACAGGAACAGCTTGTGGGGTAAGGTGAGGACACACTAAACATAATTGTAGGTAGTATTTTTCATGAGAAACCTCAAGACTCTTTTAATAACAAACAGAATTATCATCTAATTTCTGTAGGCCAGTGGCAAATTAATATTCCTACAATACCACACTTTCTTTTCCTTTGTAATGATGAAACAGGGTAGATTACAGTATAGCATTCAGGGAAGTAGACAAGTGTACTTTAACCTGCATGTAGCAGACACCAACAAACAAAGCATGATCTACAGTACAAAGATGGCTAATGTTTTCCTACTATGGAGAAATCATTGTTAGTGTCAGCGAAAACCTTTTCATGCTTTAGGAGATGTGTCAGTTATCCCCCAGTAACGATCAGGTTTGTTATTCGAAGCGTGAACACAGAGTTTAAAACAGTTTACATAAGAAATCTGTCAAAATCAAATGCCAGAGTGACTGAAAATCATTTCTTTCCTGATGGCTGTTTCAGATTCCCTATCAAATGAGTACAGTGGAGTTCCTAACCTTTATTTTGTTGTTGAAAGTTCAGCACACAATGCTGATTATTTTGTGCATTTCTATCTGTTTTATCTGTAGACACACCAGAGCACTGTGGCTTGGCACATTATGAAGCTTAATTACCAGAAGCTTCAGTTTATTTGTACATAGTACGTAAACAACTCAAGCTAAAAAAAATAACTTAAATCACATTCCCGTGCAATGGGGTGAACATTAGAGAGAGAAGAGTGTTGCAATGATCTTTCATAGTAACTTACTAACATAGAATTCTTGGTTTTTGTTTTTAGTCCTATGTATTTTTTACGCACTGGGAAAATGAGCATAAAAAGGTGGAAAAGTAGATGCTTTTCCCCTTCCCACTAGTGTCTCTTTTTATTCATGACTCATTCTTTGTAGCAAGCAAAGTATTTGCTAAATCTCATACACTCATGTGGCTTTGTACCTGGCCTTAAAGTAAATCCTTAATCTATATCTTCCCCTGATACCCAAGCTTGTCCTTGTGTCTCATTCAGTATAAACGTTAGGCTCTCTAAAAACATTTTTCGACTGAAAACATAACAATATTCCCCTAGATATTTATTATGTGTTATATATTGTTATTAATCTCTTTGTTAAGCACATTGATGGAGGGATGAATGCACAGTGACTAAAGCACACCTTGGCCCAGAAACAATCTCTTTATAATAGGAGTAATGCTTTTTTGTGAAATCCCTGAATATATTATTGAATTTTTTTAACATCTGTTAAATTGTGAGGGAAAAAAATCTAGCAAAAATGCTAATTTATTGATTAAATAGTGAAAAAAATCCTTATAATTTTAAAACTGCTGTTTCTAAAACCTGCGTGAGTCAGAAAATGTATTTCTTTACATTCATTAAGCTCCTATTCTTAAAGTACAGTATAGTAGAGATTATGTGTTAAACACAATTATATATATATGTGTCTATCTGGTTGGGATTTTAATTTTTGAAATGGACGGTTTCTGCTGTGGCCTGGACGGAACCAAACAGAAACCTTTTTGTGCTATGACTGATACTGTACCTGATCAAGGTATTTCCTATGAAATCCACATCATAGAACTTCCTAACATTCAGTTAATGAGGAATGGATAGGAATGACCTAGAGTCCTGTAGATCAGATCCATAAAATGTGCAAGCAGGGAGTAGTCAGCCAGGAATAATCAATCTAGTGCTACAGGGGCCTTCCCCATGCCGAGTTACTTCTTGAAATGTCTTCTCCGTTTCCACCAATTCCTGCAAATGTTCTTGCTCTGTTCATCACCATTCCTCTTCTTCCAAAGGTTTGTCTCAGATGCATGTGATTTCTCATTGATTTTGGATTGCTTTTGGGAGTTGGTTGATTAATTATTCTACCACAAGATCTAATATATTATATGTACCATATTGGTCAGAATATAAGGTCAAAATTAAAGCACCTTTACTTTTCAGAAAATTACACAAATATGCGTATCATAAGAAGCAGTTATGATAATGTTACAGCAGCGCATGGGGAAAAATAAATGACTCTGCTCTATTTTCGAATCCAGCAAAACTGGCCAGATCTGAGGAGTTTTGAGGAGAATCCACCAGCATGGTGGCACCACACATGGTTGAGGAAGTGGAGATAGGCACCTCGCACCCTCCTACCTTCAGCCCATTACTCTTTCCAGGTCACATTACTCTTTCCAGGGCATGCAGTCAGGTACAGGAGGTTCCGTGCTGAGTAGAGAAGGGGTGTGTCGCTCACTTGGGACACTGCAAGCCTGTGGGTGACTGGGAAACGACATTCCGATCATACGGTTTAGCCAGCTGAGCCACTGGGGAGCACAGAAAGGGTTCTGCAACAGTCTTGACTTGACTTAGTGCGTAGTTCACGGCTGGAGGAAGAGTTCTTATTTTCTGAAAAATTGAGCTAATATGGTATAGATTTTTGTATTGATATATAAAACATAAACCAGAGAGTATATATTCTCTTAGAATATATATTCAGCACATATAGCCAGTTTGGTAGTTAATACTTAATCTGTGGATCTTATTCAGTCTTTTCTTCAAAGAAGCTTTAACAATGTGGCTAGTGCCTGTTATTGGTTTCAGTGCACTTCCACAATGTTTCTGCTTGTGTTATCTACATATGTGTGTATCTGCCCTCCCCCCCATAAGGAAAGTTGAACTAAGGAAACTTTGTTCTATAATGACAGCATCATGCTTCCAGTGACTAAAGATATGCAGTAGGATGGGGTGCCAACCCATCACCATGGAACTTATAGGTTTCAATCTCTGAACCCCAGTTTTAACCTGATAGGAGCCACCAGTTCTTTACAGTATATTAATGTGTAGTGTTTGTATAGATCAACCATAGACTCTTGTTTACTCGGTACTTAGGTTCCTGACATAGCACATATACCCAAAATCGCATAGAATCAGAACACCCCCTTAGACCCTCCTATTCCCCTCCCTTAAACAAGTAAACTTAATTGTACGTGGATTAGTTTTATGAAAACAGTAATACAGGAAATACAGTACTGTACAAAATAGATCAAATAAAATGTCATAATAAAAAGGTAAACGATGTTAAAGATATGGTGAGGAAACACCATCATCTCCTAGTGATGATAGTGATGAATATGAAAGGAGTGTGCAGCTGATGACGGTGAAGACAACGGTAATGATGATGAAGGTGCTGTACACTCGACTTCCGCCTCTATTCAGACTTGCTCTCCAGCAAGATAGTTGCTGGAGATAGCTAGTCCAGCAAGGAGATGTCGGAGACTGTGCGCTTTGGGGGACTGCCTATGAGTGGAGGAGGTGGCTGTGGTGGTAGTGAGGGGGTAGTAGCTCTGGTGTGGGGGTTGGGAGTGGTCACTATGTCTCGAGAAGTCGGTGTTGCGGGCTCTACCCATTTTCTTTTGCCGCACGTTGATGAAAGCAACAGAATGCTACAGGCTTTGTAACTGGTTCCCAAAGCGTACTGTAGCTCAGGTGGAATTTGTGAGAATTCGTGCATTATTCGATTTTTCTTTTATTTTTTCATCGCCGACCGCACATACACAGATTTGCATAAAATATTTTTACCTTAAAGATATTTTGCGTAAAATGTGAGTCTGCTCTTTACTTCAGTGTTGACCTCTTTACCCACAGGAATTTTCCCAGAAAAAAATGCCAAGGTGATAGCCTTAAATGCAATAACATTTTTATAAATGTCATATTACTAAACAGTCTCATGTGAATGAAACCAAACAGTCACCTATGAAGCACTAGCCTTGATAGTTTCTGGAATTCAGTTTGATACCTTCAGCTTTGGAGCAGGTGGCCTTTTAAAATGCTGTTTTTTTAACCTTGATTTTTCTAAGAAGTGATATACATATTCCGTGCTGTACACATTTCTATATCTATGTCAGATCTGTATTTGTAATGTTTTTGATCCTTTGCTTTCTAATTTTTTGGAGTGAACCTACTGTAATTTGATCGCACCTCACGAAAGGAGACATTTTATTTGTCATCTATTTAACTTATATTCTCTGTTGCCACATCTTTATTACCTACAGCCTGAATAAATGGCAAGTGAAGTCACTAACCTGACCAGCAGTGACGGTAACTGGTTGTTAATTAAAACCCAGAAGGCAGCAAAGATAGTTCTTCTCAGCGCTGCCAGGCTGCTGGCTGGATGTGACAAGACCTTTAAAACTGAGAGAGAGCATCTGTAATGTGAAGGCTGAAATGTTTATATATTCACAATGAAAGCAGTAAAGTGTACTATCACCTTTTTCTTTTAAGGTTAGTGGCTTTATACTGGTGCCAGTACATGTAGGCAATAACAATTGAAAAACACTATTTTAAATTGTGTGCTGCTATTCCTTCATCATACAAAAGACAATAATGGCTTCTTCTCAAGTCATTGGAATAGTACGCATCTTTTTAGGGATGACACATTTACATGTAGTTTCAAATATGTTCTAAATTTGACTTTATTTACAAATTACTACACGTCGCATAGGAAAATTATTTTTTTCTTGAAAAAAAATTAAGAGCTAATAACAAGAAGCCAGGTTTCACACATAAATACTAAGAGCCAGACACTTACAACATAGATTCTCACTGCTTTGCTGAGCGTCAACCGACCACATCATTTATTCCATTTTGAAAACAAAAATCAATATACCTATAAAGTGACCCATAAATTAGAACTGGCTTGAGGAATGTTTGTTCAGTGCTGCCTTTTTGAAGGCACCCATTTAATTTCTTCTTCACCTCTCTGTTTGAACTACAGTGTCTGTAAGAGGCTCATTAGGGGACATTAGGGACTAAAGCTAACCAGAATTCCAGGGCTTGCTTTGGTTTTATTAATGCATAGCAGAGTAGGATGCGCTTAAATATTTCATAGGCATTCAGTAATTTGTGTGTAATCGGCTTGTTAGCAGGATAGTAGAAGGCGAATAGGTCTGTAAAATAGTGTTAGACGGTGCACGGGTAATTCACAGACCTTTAGCATTAGGAACAGCTGTTACTTAAAAAAAAACACGATGGTGCTGGGAAATAGAACTGGCAATAAGTAGAAAACTTAATAAAGGTTTTGTAATAAGCGTCTTCAGGGATAACAGCCCACTTGGTCCTTTTGAAGCAGCTATAATTTATGACATATGCAATATATCAAGTGCATAAGATAGCATTATGGAGCATTGAAATGAAAAGGGTATTTGCAACATTAGTTCCAACTTCTTGCAAGGGACGTGATTAAATGATTAATGAAATGTCCCTTTGCATATGCATTCTGAAACAGCAATTAGGCACGGGCTGAGGAAACCTACCAATCCTCTCATTTTTTAGCGCCATCTCATTCCTGATTTATAAATCATAGAGAATTTTAACGCATCAGACCTGAAACAGTTACAAAAGCATAAACGGGAATAAAATAAAATTATCATAAATACGCACATCCATAATTGAATGCTAATGCAGTACATAGTGATCGAGTTTTTAGCCATTGTGCTTACATATCTCCTCCTATTCCTCTGCTTTGATTGGCATAATTAGGTAGGGTAATGAATAGGCACTGTTATTTAGCATATCACTGGTAAACAATAGTAAGGCAAGGAGAAAAAAAAAGATGTGGCAGAGGTATATATGTGTATTTCAAGCTCTCAGTAATGCACTGGAGGCTGTTCTATAAATGATCATTGAAGGGCTGCAAGCTAGCCTATAATTACAGGAAAGAAAGTGGCAGCTCTGGCATTTCATAACCATGTGTCCTCGAAGAGTGCTTTGTGAGTTTGTCACCAATGATAATTTAGATAGAGGCTCATTACTGAACATCACAACACTTTTAAAACCTTTCGCCTTCATACCAGAGAATAAAGGTCTATTTTAATGGCAAGGTTCTTTTGTGTTCTACAGACAAAATCCAATCAAGACAAAACCTCATTGACTGTTATTGCAGTCTACAGTTTCTATTCTAAAGAAGGGCTGAACAGATAAATTGAATACGTCTCAGGGAAAAATATGCACATTGAAGCAAACATTTTGTAAATGTGACTTAAGTGAATGTGCAGTTAGTGATTATTTGCAAAAAAAAAAATGAATAGTTTTTTAAAATTCTTTTCATGCCTATTGTTCTCAGTGCTGTTAAGTGAACATTTTGAACTATAAAGCATTTTTACTTTCCAAATCCCTCCCTATCCCAACATATTATGTTGCATTAGGAACCCAATGAACCTATGCTTAATTTGTAACTTAATATGAAAGTTTGTTTCAGAATCAACATAAAGTTCTTTCTGCAAATGTAAAAGGGTTTATGTCATTGTGGCTTTACTGACTAGCCAAGACTGTGATGAAAAACCAAACAGGCCTTTATATATTTAAATTTGTGGTCTCAACGAAAATGTCTACAAGATCATAAAGAAGAAGCACATGAACCAGCCAAGCTCACGTGACATATTGTGTTTCCCAAAATGGCAAAGAATAAAATCTGTATTCTTTGATTGCTACATTGCCTTTTTATTGTAATCTGTTTAACCTCAAAAATGATAACATCGATTTAATTACTGATAAGTCAGAAAAAAACATTGCAAGGAAGCCATTTATTATGTTTTAATTGTGCATCAATATACTGTTGGTTTTCAGGCACCTTAACAGTGAGCATGCTTTGGACGACAGAAGTACTGCACAGTGCCGTGTTCAGATGCAAGTTGTACAGCAATTAGAAATACAGGTACTTCTGAAGCTCATCAATCTTGTGTCTATTATATAGTCAATCAGTTTCTATCAGTTTTAATAGAAGTCTTTATTACTTTTTAATTAAATTCATGCTGCACTAATTGTCTTGCTTTTTATTTTAACAAAATGCATTTCTTCTAGTTTATATTAATGAAATACATTTATACCTGAAGATAGCAGTAAAAACTTAGCGACTATTTTAAGTAGACAGAGCATGACCTAATTAAATTAATACAGTAGTAAGAAAATTAATCCTCTAATTGAAAGACCGTATTTGTCAGCAGAGCATAAATTTAAAGGAATTAATTGTATTCATGTAATTTATTACATTGTCAATAGTCTCAAATGTGTGGGCCAAATTTGGTTCAAATCACCTTTTAATTATCTTCATATTCAACAATATAATATGTGTTTGTAGCTTTTACTAAATAATGTTGTTTCATTCGTATCTGAATATGTCGTTTCTCTGGAATTTATTTTCCGCTTTTTTAGAGTTTCTTATTTATTGGATTCTCTTCTGGGAAACAAAACCTGGTTTATGTACAAAAAAAAATAATATTTTTGCTGACTTAAAAAGCTACACAAGCTGATGCCAACAGTGTGACCAATTATAGTAGTTTTGCTGTGTTTTTGAGCCCCAGCAAGGTCCGTCAGTTGTAATGAGACCCAGTGCAGTGTGGATGCTGGCTCAGTGGCGGAGTTCAGCATTTCACACTGCCTGGTCTCTGTCACTCTATTGAATTAGATTGATGATGGCAGATTGCAGGGGCACTAACTGGACCTCCGAGGGAAAGGATGAAGTGTGTAGGCAATCCTTGCAGGCACTTCGCTTGGAGGACCCTTCACCCCTTCACAGCTGTTGGCACTAGTCCATTCCTAACAGTGTCCACAGGACTTTAAGTAGACACTGAGGACCTTCTAATTTATGGTCTTAGTAACTTGTTACTGTCAAAGCATCTGTGACCTAAATTCTGTTATTGACAAAAAGATGAAGTGTTATTTGTTTTCCCTGACCTTTTACTACTCCATACTTCCAAGTTTTTTTTTTCCTCCTTCTTCTGGTGAAAGTCTCACTTTCTTCCAGCCAAAGCATAGAGACTCAGACTTCTTATATGCAGGATTCATTACAGCGAGACAAGCTCTGTAACAAGATGTATCACTGTGGTAAAATAACAGCATCAGTCAATTCTAAAATGCTTAGTGGTTTCACTTTTTTCCCCCCCTGCTTTTCACTAACAGCTTTCTAAAGAACGTGAACGTCTTCAGGCAATGATGACCCACTTGCACATGCGACCCTCAGAGCCCAAGCCGTCTCCAAAACCTGTGAGTGCATATTGCTCTATAAACAGTAAATAGGACAGTAAATGTATCAGGCAGAAAATGAACAACTTAGCCAGAGTTAGAAAACATTGAAAGTGATGAAGTGTGAGGCAATGAAAGCAAAAGCAAAATGCAATAGCTTTTTAAATTGTATGTTTCTTTAAAATAATGTTATGTTATACAAATCCTATCAGATCTTCGCGGCAGGTGACACTAAACACAATACACCCATAAGTGTACAAATCACAGCCTTGTCTCTGTTGCCAAAATGTTAGAACATCTTACTGTGATAGATTTACTGTTGAAAACAACCTGTTGGCCAGCAATTGCTGTTTAGCTGTGTTACTAAGGTAGCACTTACAGCAGTATGAAGCAAAAATGATCTTTCTTATCTTTTATATTGAAAAAAAAGGTAAAATGTTATTTAACTAGCAGGAGCTGTTGAAGCTAAAGTGAGGGAATATAAGATGTTCTATAGCTATAATTTTAGCTGCCTTTTACAGTGCATTGAAATTGATATACACATTGGAAAAGAAGAAATGGGAAAAGGTCTGAAAATGGCTGCCTTTAGTATACTGCATGGTCTTTTTATTTTTTATTGCTGTATATAAAAATGGTATAATTAAAATGAGTTACCATTGTTAGCAGAAATATATAAAATGCTGTTTTTATGTATTTCTGTATGCAACTGTATGTTTGTTTATTTACTTGGTGAAACCTATAATTATATTCTAAATGTCCACAAATCACAAGCATTTAACATGTAATTAATGAAGAATGCTATAGTGTTTACTCAGAGAAATAAGGCTGTATATGTTTTTATAGTATTTCTTGTAAAACAATACACTTAGTAATTACCAAGCAAGCATTTTTGACGTAATTATTTATTTGACAATATAAGGTACTTAAAAATCTTTTTGGGGACAAAACATTGTTATTATGTTATGCTGCTGAGTAACTGTCTCATTTCAATAGAATAATTTTCCTCATCACTTCCTATCGTATAAAGTAGATAATCACAAGATAGAATAATTATCCCGTAAATCCATCAGGAATCTGCCGCTCGTTTTTTCCAATTAATTATTCAATCAGTAATTTTTTTAAAACTCCAGCAGCGTGGTTACATCTACACTAATAAAGAATTTTCAGCCTATAATCCAAAACAGAATATGAATGAATAATGTAAATGAAGTATTACATTACATAAACCACACATGAAAGAATTGCTAATTGCATTTGATGGTGGGCAATTAATACAGAATCATAGATGAGCAGTTTAAAATGAAACCACAGTTTAAGGTTCCCATTGGAGCTGGTGATATCTAAAGTGCTATATTGCACTGTTGGCCTTAAATTGGCTTAAAAGAATAAAAGTGGGTAATATACAAAAACTAAAATTTATATGCTGTACAAAAGAAGCTTCATAATTGATATCACAGTACAGATTTATGCCCTCATATGCAGTGGCTCAGTTGAAACAGCCCACACATTTGATAAATATTAATAGTATGAATTTATTACCAAGGAGGAATGAGCTCTGTTGGTTCATCACTGCACCCTTAACAGCTATCAGTACATGAACACAAGGTGCAACTGCACTGTCTATTATATGACCCCATTTACTCTCTGAATGGTACTTCATTAAATGTTACCTTTTGGCCATGCTATGGATGGATGAAAATCAAAGTTATCAAGGCTGCAAGTCCTGAATAATGAGTTTTACCCAACCTTGAATATATTCAGATGAGCTGAGGTAGCTAAGTGCTCATCCTAGCTTTTACATGCTTTTCCTCAGTTATGTTTAATAAATTCCATTTTGCTGGTGCGGGATTGTATGCCTGCAAACATGTTACGCTTGTTACTGCAGCTAGCAAAATATGTTAGCCTAACACCATAAATATACATACTACACATAGAAATATTTATTATGAATGGCTCTGTATATATTTAACAGCATATTGAAACCTTTTGTTATTATCAGTGCTGAACATCTGAGACATAATTACAACTTCATAGTTTATATTGGTTTCACTTTGTGAGATGCATTTAGCATGGGGAAACCACAGTGCTTTTACTTTACAGACTGAGTTTGTTTCCTCAACAGGACATTTAACAAGGGATGTGATTTTTTCCCCTTTTTCTCTACATGGGTTGTTATATTCTGAGATCTTACAAAAATATTTTTCTGCTCATGCAGATTTACTGAAATAATTGCTAAAATGATAAATCAATATAGGATGGCCATTAATACATCAAACTGGTTACTGGGGTTGTATTTCAAAATATTTGTATATTGCATTTTTAGGTATAATGTACATTTAGAACAACAGCAAATGTGGTGACAGCTGTATTATCCATATCCATATATGTTTGTACAGATGCTCTAATTACAGTATTGTGTAATGCAGATTTTGTTATAGCTACTGTAGCTGTAGTACAATGTACAGCCCTTCTCGATAAAGTCATTAAACAGCATTATCTTTTTTTGTAAACCTAACAAAGAAACTGCCGTCTCATTCTGCCCAGCTTACAGCAGAAGCTGAAAAACAGTTTGTGGTTTATTGGGAACAGATGCACTTGGGGATGCCTTCAGGGTGCCAGTCGTTATTATAAGACTGCTAATGTGCTTCTGCTGGCTGCTACCCAAGATAGAACAATTAGCTGGCATATGTTAATTTTTGTTTCCCTAACAAATCTCCTTATTTGTTATATGTGTAAAACATGCCCACAAAGATCAATCAACCTTCAACTCTTCATTTTCTCCCCATACAATGATACATTTGGTGACAAATACATCAGTCAAAAACAAACACATCTAAATTGCTGAAGTAAGCTTTTTTTTAGTAAGTTTTCAATTGCACAGAGCATTTTGCAGAATCGTCAGTTTACTTCTTCTGCACACCTTTAAAAATTGTGACTTAATCCTTCTGAGAATAAACTAAAATTGTGGTGCTGGTCATAGTTGTCTGTCTTTAATGAGGTTCTGTTTATGATGATAATTTATGTGGTACGCATGGCAGAGCTATTGGGTTTTTTATTTTTTTAGATGAGCAACACATGATTTCAGAGAGTAATATAAGGCATAATGATAACTGCTTTGCATACAAGCTACGCTTTTTCCTTTTTTCGTGGCGTGGCACCCACTTTCCTGGGTACATCAGCATTAAGTGACACTGTAATCATAAATTGAAAATGATACTTCCAGTAGAGTTGGCAAACTTGACATTTCATTATATTTGTTAACACATGCCACAAATGATTGTTAATGGGGAAATTCCATTCCCCTCTCACCATCTCCAATCAGATTTAATTTGAAAATTTTCAGCCTCCTCTGGCTAATTTGCAATTAAGACAATTTTGTTTGAATATGTAGTAATGTCATTACCATTCCACCAAATTAGCAGAGAGACTAAAGGTCAGTGTAAAATTTTCCAGCTGGCTGGAGCCTCTCAGCTGAGATTTGGAACTGAAAGCAAAAGTGAAAAAGCACTGGATTAGCAACACATTTCAGTTTCTATTAAGTAAGTGATATCTTTTGATTTAAGGAAAAAAAGAATAGGAGCATCATTATTTTGAATTCACAAAAAGGTCAGAACTGTAAAGCAGTTGCAGGCAGTTTCAGTCAGGTGGTAGCTCACTTGTTCCCAGACACAGTTTTGTATACAGCAAGCGTTAGTTAGATTGAGTTGGTTCTGGGTAACATCAGAGCAGATCATTAGATAATCTCTAACAGCGTGCTCTAATTAGAGTTCTTATGATACAATTTCATCCTGTAATTAGTTGAGATTGGCTGCTTCCTTCGCTGCTTATTAGTGGAAACACAGCTGTAGAAGTGAATTCACTTTCGTTTGTCAGAGTCTTGTAAAGCCCTCTTTTCTCCCCCATCTCCCATCTTGCCTCCCTTCTTACACATGCTTTTTGGTGGACGTCGCAGCTGAACTTGGTGTCGAGTGTCACCATGTCAAAGAACATGCCGGAGACATCCCCGCCGAACTTACCTCAAACCCCCACGACGCCAACAGCCCCAATCACCCCGCTGTCCCAGGGGCCCTCAGTCATCACCCCTGCCAGCGTGCCCAACGTTGGAGCCATCAGAAGACGGCACTCAGACAAATACAACCTCCCCATGTCTTCAGGTGGGAGTCTTATTCCCAGCTCAACACGCATTCCATCACAAAGATCGAGAAACCCATGACAAGCTGCATGAGCTTACTGCTATAGGGTTTGTTTTTATTTGAATAACGTAACAGAGGTCAGCTACTGAAGTTATTCAAAGCATAATCATGATAGGTGCTGTTG